ATGCTTGATGATTCCTTTTCTATTTCATTGACGCAGTTATATGGAATTCTCTTTATTTTGCTTTTTATTTCCTTAGTTTATGAATTTTATGAATTTCCTTTCCTGACAGAGTTCTTTGAGCGATCCTTGTTCTGCGATACTCCGCTCGAATTGCATACGACACGTGACCTATTTTATTTTTTCAACTTCAGAAAATTTATGGCTACCGCACAATAACTCATTCTTGCTTCAGTGTTTCGCATAGTTTCTCCTTTATTCTTCGAGGTTTTTTAGGTGGCTTCGAGAAGGGGTCTGCCCTGGTTTCACACCTTTAGTTTCGGCCTTGGAGTTGAAAAAAAAATGATTTGAGGGAAGAGGCAAAACGGATATCTGCGTTCTAGAAAGTCTTCTTTCTCCAGTCATTTGTTTTTTATTGCTAACTGGGTGAAGCAACAGTCTGAACATGACTTACCAGCGAGAAGTGATTTCTTTTTGTCAATAAAAGTTCAGTTACTAACTTGTAAAGATTGAGTTATGTCATCCATTTGAAGTAAAGCGTTTCCTTGCGGAGATCCCCATTTGATTGTTCGTTCGCGTGTTATCCGTAATCCTTCGACGCGACGTTCTCCTTTTTTAAAGAGCGCGCTCTCGAATGAAATCGTTGCGTCGAGAAGGGATGACCTTATCTTGGTGATCGTATTCATTCTTACAGTTGCCTTAAGATGCGCCGTAATTGCGTCGCGCTAAAACGGATTATATCAATAATGAACTTTTTTGGAGACGGTTTATCCTCCACTTTTTATATATTATGATATTATCCATATTTTTTATTCAGTGTGAAGGTGCATATAAGTGTCATATAGTAACAATTTTTGTCTAGTTAACACCGCACCACCGCCTGAACGTGAATGGGTGATGATCCGACACGCGGATCCTGATCGGCCTATAGGTGAGGATTTTGCATTGATTTTCTTTCAGTTTTTCTTGCTTTTTCGTTTTTCTCCTTTTATTGCGGACGCAGTGCTTTTGAACAGAAATTCGTTTTATTTGTCAGTTTCACTTTTCAGCGATACCGCATTCTGATTAATATTGAAGGGGCACAAATCACCCAGCTCCGTGAGGGGTTTTATTACTGTCAAGTTCAAAGCGTTCACCAACTCCTCTAGAAGTTTGTTGCTTCATCTAGCGTAGAGCGCACTATATCACCCGTATTCTTTTTCGCAATAGATCATGCTTTCGGGGAAGCGACACGATTGTAAGTTGCGCGTTCAATCGGGGCCGGTTTTCGTGGACAGCTAATGGCTAAACACTGTAAGAGGAGCGCCTCACAATCGCGAGCAACATGACAAAACCGGCTTTGGATAGCTGCTTTTTTATTAGACTATTAGTAAACATCAGTGTCAGCTTGCGACATGCTTAATCAAAATCTGATGTTTTGGCATCACGTCTCTTTAGAAAGACAAAAAGCACGATAATTTGTTACTCAGTCGAAAATGGTAGCGAGACAAGAGTTAACCTAGTGAAACAAGGGGCGAACAAGGGAAGTGGAACTGTTGAACCTGTAAAATCACCTTTGTTTTGCACGATACTGGACGAGTATGGGTGACAGAAAGCCATTATGGACGAGTCTTCCCGATGGCATCGTGCCAGCAACCGCTTCGCTAAATACCGCTGCATCGATTCATATATACACGCAGTACCGCAGTTTCTTCATATAAATTGCACTTAGTTAGCGAAGCGATGAGAGTATTAGCGCCGACGTGGCTGTGCGGCCGTTTATCGGCGGGCGGTTGCGTTAGGCGTCTGGGTCGGCATGTTGCACCTCGGCTGTGGGCTACAACACAGCCCTTTGTTGGTAAAGGCGCTAAGCAGCGCATCGGAGACGTATGTTCCTTCGCGCTAGGCCTATTTACCCTTCACAGCTATCGAATTTTTTCCCACTTGCCTTAAAAGTACATACAAGAACCATGAAAGCATACTTTATTCAAAAGTATCGCCTGTATAAGCTGTAGTTCTGGTGAGTATCGAAGTCCACCAGTGGATGCCAGAAACATCTCGATCAGGGCACGCCATTCTTTGTGATCATCACAACGGGGGGGGTCGTATTGCCCGCGATGGAGGGGGGGTCGTAAACGGCCCATGTTGAAGTGGAGAGAGCGGTGATACACGGTACAAGTGAAAAGAAGCTCAAAAGGGATGATGTAGATGACAATAAATAGAACCAGGCACTATCGAACTATTCCTAGGTCGCGGTCGGCGCGCTCATACAAGCTCATTGGTGCGCGCTATTTTACGGCCTGGAGCCAATTTCAAGCCAAACACGTGAAAAGTACCCCTCATTTGAACACCAGACTTGTTGAAAGTTTGAAGCTATGGAGAGGGGTCAACGGGAAATGATAGAGCTAGGTTTGGCTCTTGTCACCTGAATTGAGCGATTCAAAAACGTTCCGATTCCAGAGATTTTCCCCGTTGTGATCATCGTTGTGATCCGTCTGTGATCATTTTTGCGAACCGCGAGTCGCTACGCTTTGGACGTCCATGGCAAGCTTCATGCACGGCCTTTCGTAAAAAAGGAATTGTATGCCGGAAGCTTGAAGATTTCTACTTTCCAGCAAGGCTTTAATTTTCCTTCCTAGGCCTACTATTCGAAAAATTCCCCGTTGTGATCATTTCGTGACCCCCCCCCCAACACGAAAAAGTCAGCCCGCCGAGGCATGAGAACTCCAGGTTGGCCTTGGAGGACTTTGGTATGATTCATAAAACAATACTTCTCGACAGCAAAGGGTATCAGGAAATAGGCCATTGGGCGCCAATTGGCATCACTCTGCAATGCGCCATGCATGGGGCTTTCACGCAAGTGTTTGGAAGGTGTAATCTAAGTAGGTGTGTGGTCCAGATTGCAAGCAAATGTGCTCTGAAACCAGAAGAGGTCGGGAATGTACTTTCGTACTGTTTAATTATATCGTGCAGTTCGTAAGTCCTTTCCATTGTTTATAAATTCATGGTGCCCTTGTGGGCGGTGATCGTAGCTCCTATCATCGCCCCTTCCTCGTACGTATTGTCAGTATGCTACACCAGCGCAGAAGTGCTGAACGTGCTTGGGACGTACGTAGGTACTGCGACCTCCCCCCCCCGCTCGACAGCAAAATTTTGTAAAAAAACCAGAAATTTTTGGGAAAAAATAGACAAAGTGGTAGGAGGTTGGAAAAATCTAGGGAAGAGGTAACATGGGGAGGGGGGTCGTACTTGAAGATGGAATTAGGGGGGTTTTTCAGGAAATGATCACAACGCAATGGCGTGCCCTGATCTCGATTCGCCCTTGTTGCGAGCCGAAGCAGTTCAGTGGAGACCTCAATTGAAGAACCGCGAAACATACATTCCTTTAGTGCAGAGCTTTTCATGAAGAAGTCCGAGGGCCAGTCGTTCGGTGGTCGTATTGATGTTCACTCGACGTCGGCCACCCGTCAGTTACCGTCCCAGCGTCATCACATTATTGTAAAGTAAGGGATGAAAAATGCGGGCCAAAAAATTCGCCTATTTCATGTCAAGGTTTCCCAACATTCTTGCTCAAGGATCCTGAGAGAGTTCCTTTATGGAAACATAAATATCAACAAAGACCAGTATTCGTTTTTGATGGTAGTATGAAACAGGGCTTTCAGAAACAGCCTAAAAATAAAGGAGTCTATAGCCGAAAATGTTGACCATGGAATCGTCCGCACTGGCTTCATTCCCTTGGACAGTTCCCGCGATCAAGTGGTCCGCGAAATGCTTCAGTGCATTTGACATCGTTGTCCGCATTCGCAGAGAATATACCACTTTCGTCACTCGAAACGGCGAGATAAAAGCTAGAGACGCGTGATTATTGCAACCATTGCAACCACGATTACTTTCACTCTGCAAGACAACGGCTTACAAGCGGAATTGCGTGTGTACATAGCGTTGCCTGGAGCGTCGTAGGGTGATTCCCTGTGCTCTTGCGGGGAATTGATTGCACGTCGAATCCTTCTGATTGAACTTGCCGACTACCGACAGACTCGTTCGTCCAAGGCGCCGCTCCACTGCTAAAAGCATCTCAGTTAAGTGTTCTCAAGGTTCTTTTTCGCTTCTTTTTTACTAGGGGGCAAATTATGGGCTAGTGATTCATTATTGAGCACCTACTACCCGTACTTGAACGCGAAGAATTGTCTTTGAAAACATGCGCAGAGACAACCGTTCAAAAAAAGCGAAATAGCCATGCACCAAGGATTCAAACCCTCGACTATGCATATGTGACGCCAACCACGTATTTGAGTCGTGTATATGGTACACCCGCAGCGCTTGCGGACAGGAGTACCTTCATCAAGAATGGCGTCCACACACTAAAGAAGCGCCGAACGTACCTTCAAAGGGATTAGATAACACAGAACTCTACCTTCACAAAGAAATTCGCAGGATAGCACCATCTGGAGGCACAGAACGTGTGCGGGATAATCAGCAGGGGCGTACCGGATTTCCTTCCTTCTATCCTTGCATGTGGGAGTGATGAGTTATGTCGATTCTGAAAGGTGTAGGATCTCTCTCTTCTCTTCTTTCAAATCTAACTAGAACTCGTCACTTATTTTTGATAGCGTTTTACATTGCTGTTATTTTCTTTTCCTTTTTTGCTTTTGCACCTTCAATCTCTTGTGTTTTTTTTTTCTTTGCACTTCTTGAAAGATTCAATCTCGTCGTTTTTCAGCCACATTCACTGTACTGTGCTACAACGTGCTATGTGATAAATACGCCACTGTAAATCAATACAACAAAAAATTACTCCACTTCCGTCCTTATGGGCGCTTAACTGGGTAGTCACCGGAATTAAATGTCCTATATGGAAGAGAATGTCGCAAATTAATGAGCATGATATATCCACATTGCAAGGATTTCTGGACATTTATTTCACTTACCGGCCGCGTCTCGCAACTTGACAGTATCACATGGTTGATTGAAATCGTTCCTGCGGCCCGACCACGCTCTAAGTTTTAATCTCCTGTCCGATGCCCGTATTCAGAATGCAAATGAATTAGCAGTTTAATGACTCAAGACATTAGCACGTTGGTGTGTCGGTTCAATATCCGCGAATCATCGTTTCTAAGCTCGCCAAAATATGAAAGAGCTTAGTCTTTATAGAGCGAAAATAGCCTTGTTAATAGTTTGACTTAACACCTAGAAGTGCAATGTCAATCTTCACATCTTTTTGAATTTTATGAAGCTTATCCCTGTTTGTTTGAGAAAACTCACGATATAAGATTTCCAAACAAATAGATTTCAAAAGAATCGGAAGCGATTGGAATTAATTTTCACTAAGTCTTTATTCCGAATCAGTTTTGTGAACTATTGAGCTTTGCGTATCGAAAAACTTGAGCCTTATTTATTTGTTACAATGTCGAAATCTTTACATCATCATGAGACCGACTTATGCATTTTCTTCATTTGTTTACTTTCGATTTACTAGCACTACCTCCCGCCATCATGACATGCAAAAAAGACAGATATCAAGGCCCATACCAACTCAGAAGCGCACCCAAATCAAACCGCTCGAAGGCAAATTAACCGAAACAAAGAAACCCATAAATTGTTAGGATAATACTAACTATAATGTCGGAGCGAATGCAATAAAAGCAGAGTGTACACCAAGTATACTTAGGGAGAGAAGCGTAAAAAAGGAGGAACGTACGAGCAAGTTAGAACATAGGCAACAAACCAGTCATGATTAAAAACCTTTCCCACAACTACACTTCCAGCCGACATTAGGTGAAATTGTGAGCCATGTGGACACTGAATTATTTATTATCCATTATGAATGTAATTGTAGCATATCCACAGCTTTTTCTTTCATGCCTCCAACTATTAGCTGATAAGTAGCATCACAGGAATGCTGAGATGTGGGCAAAAGTAGACCCTGGACGGGAAACCTCGAACACCATTTTCCTTGCTACCATGGCCACTTTTACATTCTTAGCTTCGCTAGGTAGATTCGCTACATGTGCCTACAAGTACCTCCTGCTTTCAAGCATTTTCTTGGATGGTACAAAGCCTACACCTTCTCTCATGAGATTTCTGAGGTACAAGATGCACACTGAGGCGAAGATGAGTAGTGACAAGTGCCACGCCTAGCACGAGCAGGTCCGAGGGTCAAATCCCGATCGGCTGTAGGCCAGCCGAAGCCTCTTTCCTCCGGAGACTACCAGGCTCGTCTGGAGGATAACAACGCTGACTTGTAATCGGCTGGTTTCCGCATGTCATTGTATAGGTCTTCCGCATTCTATAGGGGGCTACGACTCTGAATGGAAGTAGAATGCATGTCGCATCCCAAACAGGGATTGATCAACGGCGAAGACTACATCCTTTATCTTGTTAAGGCGCACTCATGTATAAGGCACACCATCGCCTCGAAGGCCACGGGTGCTTTCCTAGGTTTTCCTTTCGAGTTTTTTTTTTGTTAGTTCTTATTTCTGTGAGTGGTCCTTTTTGATAAGCAGTGTTTTAAAATCAGCGCGAAGATCAGAATATGCAAAAAAAAGAAACGAAAATTGTTGCGACCATGCAATTAAATGCGTCTTATACCCCGAAAAATGGGTTGATACTCAAGTATTTCTTTACAGTCAGTGCACAAGTCAGTGTCCAACTTCCCAGTCTATTTGTTTATGTGTTTCTGAATACCTTTTTCTTTTATATTGTCCTACATTGTTTTCATAGTTTGGTGGATTTTTGCTACATCTTAACCTATGGTGATGTTCTTCAGTGGGGAAGATGGAGAATACTGGTTATCTTTTTCAGTGGTAATTTTACGCTGTCAATGCTGACCCTTTTTCCATTGTCATATGTACCAATGTTAATACTTTTCGGTGCTCTTATGTTATTGGGTCATGATCCCCTGTTGAACTATGCGCTCGAAGCATGGGAAAGTAAACTTGTTCAATTCCATTGTTCCTCCTTTTCTGCTTTGTCCACAGATATGGTTTGCCCATGGAATGAGCTTAAATTCGGTATCACTGCTTTTCAACACTTAATAGTATAATAGTTTACACTGAGGCCTTGAATAAGACTGAAGATTGGTCTTGAAGGTACTCCTTATGTTCAAAAATGTTGATTTATGCAGTTCAAATATTAATGACAAGATGGTGAACAACAGGAAAGTGAAGAAAATAGAAAACTCGTCTGAGGTGCGCCAAATAGAACCCATGCTGAGCCATGCATAAGGTGAAGAAAGGGAATGGTCGGGCAATTTTCTCTTGTTGGTGGCAGCTCTTTCTCCTTATCACCTTACCACAGGAAATATAGAGAGTACTGAAACAACCGCACCATAGGTAGAAAAACCGCACCATAGTTCGAAAATGAAAGTTGGGCGTTGCCATGGTCAGTGGGCGGGCGTTGGCTTTTTCGCCAGCGGGCAACGCCTTTCTCACACATTTTTTTGCTGCGAAGGTAATACATCTTGCATGCTTGCAGGCAAAACTTTCATGATCAACGAAGGGGCCTGAACATCGAATGAACCCTAGCGTTTCTTTCACACGATATTTTTCGCTGCTTTTTCGGAAACACTCAATTCAGCTAGGAGATGTTCTGTATTCCAGATCAAAGCGATTCTATTTCTTCTTTGCTAGGAATTTCGTGCGCTGTTTCTGACAACTTCTGAGCTTCTTCACTGTGGTGATAACATGCGCATTTTAATAGTCATTTTTGCCTCCCATATTCAACTGCTGAGGCAGAGGTGGTGTAGTGACAAGTACGCGCTTACCACTCGCGCGGCGCCGGGTTCGAATCCCAGGTCGACACCCGCCCAGGCCAACCAAGCCTTCTACCCTCCGGGGACGGTAAATTGGTACCAGATTCGTCTGGGAGGATAAAACACTGACTTGTACATCGGCTGGCCACAAGTCATTGTATAGGCCACATCGCATTCAATAAGCCACGATTCTGAATGGAAGTAGAATGCGTGCCGCATCCCACAAAGGGATTGATCAACGGCGAAGACTTTATACTTTATTCTTTATTCAACTGCTCCACATCCTTTCCGGCTGCAGCTTGATAAACCTCATTCTTTCAGGAGGTCGAAACGGAGCAATTTCGTCTGTTGTTCCAACCAGAGTTGAAAGTGCTAGGATATACGGGAATTTTTTCACCAAAATCTCGAGCAAAGACTATGAATGAGGAAGACCGGAAGTACGTGGATGGGTGTGCGATCTTTTGGAAGTCGGAAAAGTAAGTTGATGCCGTTTTTGCCCGTGAAATCTAGAACTGGTTTCGAATCACAGGAATGACAGCACTCACAAACCCAGACATCTCTATAACTTGTAAGTAGCGATAATTTTGTTCAAAGATAATTGTATGTCAGGTTTGAGATTGAAAGGGAACACCTCATAGAGTTCACGCAAGTTGTTGTGAAAAAAGCTGCCTCATCGGAACACATGCTTAACCGGGTAATGCCTCGAGATAACATCGCGCTGTGTGCTGTTCTCCGGATCAAGGAGAACGTCTACAATAACAGTGAGTCTACTGGTTACAGTCTTTTGTTCAAAACCTAGATTGAATTTTCGCACTACTCTTTCCGTAGAGATTACTCTATTATCAAACAATGGCATTTTCTCCTTTCAAGGGCGCATGACAATGGCTGCAGCAGATAATGTGGTTGGCTCACCTCTAGTGGTTTGCACTGCTCATATTCACTGGGATCCTGAACTTTGTGACGTCAAGCTGGTTCAAACAATGATGCTGGCGCATGAGCTGTATAAACTGCTTGAGGAGGTATGTCTTACCAGTCGCCTCGCCGGCTAACGCCGGCGCGGCTCCTTCTGATACGGCCCGGCTGCGCCGGGCGGGCGCGGCTTCGCCGCGCGTACCTTCTCTCACATATTTCTAGACTCAACTGATATCCGCCTTTTGTTCTGTACTCCACTTTTCTCCGGTGTCTGAAGTACTCTTGAGCTATTTTACAGATTCTTCGTCTGACTCCGCCCACCTCAGAGCAGACCCCGCCCACAATTTTTGTGCCCCGCACTCTTCACAGGCGACCCCCTGCTGACCTTAATCCACTTTTTTCCGGTGTCTGAAGTGTTCTGGAACCGTTCTGCAGAGTTTTTGTCTGGCTCCGCCCACCTCGAAACAGGCTCCGCCCCAATTTTTGTGCCCCACAATCCTCATTGGCGACCCTCTGCTGACCTTAATCCACTTTTTCCGGTCTTCGGAGTGCTCTGGGAGAGTTTTGGAGAATTTTTGTCTGGCTCCGCCCAACTCGGGCTGGCCCCGCCCACAACATGTATACCCCACATTTCTTAATCGGCGACCCCTTGCTGACTTCACTTTATTCCGGTCTTCGGAGTGCTCTGGAACCGTTTTACAGACCCTTTTGTCTGGCTCCGCCCACCTCGAAGCAGGCTCCGCCCACAACGTTTTTGCCCCACGGTCCTCACCTTCGACCCTCTGCTGCTGACCTTAATCCACTTTTTCTCGGTCTTTCGGAAGTGCTCTGGAGAGTTTTTGAACTTTTCGTCGCACCCGCCCACCTCGAGCAGGCTCGCCCGCAATGTTTTTGTGGCGTGCTCAACAACATTTCGAGCATGCCCAATAGAGTACGATATATTGCATTCTGCACTGCTTCTGAACTCCCGCGAACCGATTATCTGATTTTATGCGAAGCACGCCCACCTTGATTACCCGCCCGGTTCGTTGTTTTTTACGTGTTTTTGGAGCTGTCTCCGCACAGGTATGCCGTCTACTCCGTTGCTAACCTTACGAACTTTTTCCCATCTTCGGGCCACTCTGGAATTCGAATTATGAACATTTCTATGCGGTAACCCCCGAAATTTCAGCAGAGTTCCCGGCGCCCAGCATGGATGGGCTTCGCATAGGTCAAGTGCTTTTTATTTCTTGTCCCATGCTCTACCCATCCCCACCTTGACCCGACCTCTCCAAGTCGTTCTTCAGGTCGAACCGAATTTCCGGACAGACAAACAAACTTACAAACAAACAAACAAACAGACGAAGCGAATTATATATATGGGGTGAAGTTATGATAAGTAGAAATTTCTCAGCGCTGTTCGACTTGGAGAAGGGGATTTTTCTGATATGCTAGTTTCTTTCACTAGTTTGTGTCAACTTGAGCGTGCTAGAGTGCGCTCATACATTTCGTCAGCGTCTTGAGCTTACGGCGGCGTGCACTCAAAACGCTGACGCAGATCTAGAAAAACTACTTACCTTAATGAGAACTGTAAACGCTTGACAAAGTGTAAACGAAGCTCGCGCTGTTGCATAGTTTGGCAAGAGTTTATAGGTCTCCACACATCACGAGACATCGGCAATGATCATTTGGAGCCAGCAGAATGCTTCCTCCACAGGCGAAATCGATGCACTTTGGCAAAATCGAGCTAAAGTACATCGATTTTGCCTGTCCGTGGACTTCTGCTCTTACTTCAAATGCTGATTTCTTGTTGAGGGGGACCCCCACCAAGCACCACACATTTTTTTCTGTAGGGGAGTCATGATCACGTACGATACTCAGAGTGGAGGACTCTCCTCGTTGTGCACTTTTATATCAGTGAATTTCCTCTACGCCGTGTTATTACAAATGTATGGAACAATTGGAAAAACATCACTGTAAAACATTTCAGGTAGCTGAGCAGTTTCGAATAACACCTCAGCAGACACCTGTGCTCATATGTGGTGATTTTAATTCGCTCCCCGATTCAGGTATAGTGCACTCGTTTTAGAACTTCCCTTTCAATGCCAATTTTTTGATCGGTCTTTTCTTCCGTTTTTACGTAATTTTGTTTGTAGATAAAAGATTCTGATACTGTTTGGGCATTTGGGAATACTTGTCGGCTTTCCGGATTGAGCTCGCTCAGTGCTTCTCTCGCTTTCTTTCCAATCGCGTGCGCACGTACCCCTCCCCACCCACACCAGCCGCTGACGGGAATTTTTTGGATGGGGGGGGGGACTGGAGAATTTTCCAAAAAAAACTCGTAAAAGTGGTAGAAAGTCGGGAGAAGTCTGGAGGATGGCACTTAGGATGGGGACTGAGGAAGAGGGATCGTATTTCGATAAGCTGGATAAGAATGTTCTCCAACGGCATGACTTGCTCTGACTCAGAAACTGCTTCTCCTTAGATTATGGCGAAAGGACTCGACTTCCTGACCTAAAACCGTTTCTACAGTGATCCTCTACCGCGGCTCGTCTGACATAAAAATCAACAAAAAAGTAGGCGTAAATATAGACCGTACCATCCTTAACTTTACAGAGACTTCACAAATCTCTCTAAAATTACTGGCAAGCGTTTTCCGATCACAAATTATCGGAAACATTGACTGTCAACTATATGCCCCCTCCCCCTCCCCACCCTAAGCCGAACTGCGCCTGATTGTCTACGGAAAACTTTTCTCGCCAAGCTGGAAGACCCTTCACGCTTTCCCGCACGCTATTTCTATTCGATTGGACATGGGGACTGGTAAACTGAAATGTGGACAAGTTCCTCCGCAAATGCATCCTTTGTTTGATTCTGGGCAAAAAGTTGTTTCAATCCGTGCCTGGCTTTTTCTGCCTGTTTATATCCCACTAGTAATGGAAGAGAAGTGTTTGCTGTTCTTCTTTACTACATGAACGATCGGAGCTGCCGAATGCTTTGTCAGGCACGAGCTCTTTCTGGGCTTTCAACCTTGTTTCTGTTTCGAACAACAGGGCAGCCAAGTGTCAGCGGTACTCCACGCTGTGCCTTGTAGGAATTCAACATAATGTCGAGCCGAACAAGGTTGTTCTCCCCCATTTCTGAAGAAGACGAAAAGGTCGTAATGTTCGTCAGTAAGATTCCATTTAACAAACTAGTTTGACATAAGTATTTAAAAATTAGTTTACCCTCTCGGAAAATTACCCTGTCGGTAGTAAGTGGAATTTATGGCCATTAAAAATGATTTTAAGGAGTGTTCGAGTTTCTCTCACGAGGACAACTATCGCGGTCTCACGCGGAGCTGAAAGGGTTTCGCGATGATAGTTGTCTGGATCGTTTTTCTTCTGGCGTCCGTGATCCCAACTGCTACACTCATTCACTTCGACTCGATTCCGCGGTCGAATTAAGCAATATACCGTTCACGAATTACACGTAAGTGCATTAAGAAACATTTCGCCTTTGCTCCTTGCTGCAATCAATATGCCTTCGTTTGTTCAGGCTGGATTTCAAGGGAATGATTGACTATATCTTTTCGACTCCTCAGTCTTTGGCTCGACTTGGTTTCCTCGGCGCTTTCGATTCGAATTGGGTGGCACAAAATAAGATCATAGGTATGTTCCGAAACGTTTTCATTTTGAATCGGACCTTTTCAAACAATCAAGTCGGACACATCTCATACACTGGGCAGCTGATAACTAGATTACACAGACTGCTGTAGGCCCCGCTCCAACACCCCCGCCCACCTCTCAGCGCTGTCATGGTCATTCTAAGTTCATTTTATGAACTCTGTTCTTCTGTCATTTTTCCGCTTTTGCTATTCCGCGCACACACTCTAATAAAGGATCGGTGCCGGTACAGATGCAACTCCGCCCTCTTTTTTGATGAATTATCGAAGTATGATTTTGTATCACTTTCTTCAACGTCCTTCTTTTTCTCATTCATCCTTCACAAAACGAATGTGCTCATAGATGTGCATTCTTACAGTGGCACACTAAGCCCTCTGACCAAATTCACTTTGCAGAATTTTTTTAGTTTTTTTTTTGAACTTTTCGCCTTTTTGGGGTGGGACAGGTGGCTTGCCCAATTCGCAGAAGCACCGCCTACTTTGAGAAATGATCTATATCGGCAGAATAGAGTTCGATCTGGCATATCATGTCTCCGCCTCCATCCGGAGCAAAAAATCGGGGAAAACTAGTTCCGAGTGACGAACGAGACCATGCCCTTCCAGTTGCGTTCCGAGTGACGAACGAGACCATGCCCTTCCAGTTGTGACTCTAGCCTGCCGATCTGGACCATTTTGCAAAAGTGAGCGAGGCTTCTGTGAAGTGGGCGAGGGTGTTGGGAGGGGCATGCAGCAGCACTTGCTCTAGTGTGCTCTGGTTATCATCTGCACATTGTAAAAAGTGTATCCAAATTGATCTGAAAAGTGCCTTATTTATTTCGAATGGTGTCCGATTTGGTTTGTAAAGTATCTCATTCAAAATAATGTTATATATAGGTCTTAAGTGGATATATTCCAGGGTTTCCTCATCCTCATGTGCCATCCGATCACATACCGATTATGGCGCAGTATGCAGTGATACCAACGAGTCATCAACGTGCACCTCCGCCTCCGCATCCTCTGAACAACTACCCTCGATAGGGTTATGGACCAAGACGTGTTCGTGATCGGCTCGCCGAATATCATTTTTCAACCGGGTGTTGGTAGTATGCTAGTTGATTGGTTGGTGGTGCGTTACTAGTATTTTTTTGTTGTTCACGCGTTCCAATCGTCATTTATGTGCACGTAGATGAGTAGCTAGAAGTTTGTAAATTTGATTCATTATTGCCTCTTTCAAAGTGGTTATCATCTAGTTTCGCAAGGCTGAATGTATATGTATTGTGTTTGCATCATATTTATTCATTCATCATTATTTCTGCTCTGTTAATGTGTATGTTTTGTGTCTTGGTAGTATGATCGTCGTCGTCGCGCTGCCTTGGCGGTCGTCGTCGCCGTTGTGCTGAGAATCTCTGTCAGTTTTAGCTTAATTCCTCCTGTGATCATGCGTCGATTGATGCAGCATTGACCTAGGCCGGATCTCAGTCCAAGTGCTGTACAGGCTGCATCGTGCATGCGTCGCGTTTGCTTTCTTCGTACGTTGTACATTACCACGCCCGTTTTAATTATTTGCGATATGTCTTCAACTTGTACTTGTCAGTGGCGGTTATGGGTAACACCGCAGCACCTCTATCTTCGTATTTCGCTCTTTTTTTTGTATGTGTGTGTGTTTTGCACTCGCCCTTACTACGGTATTCGGTCCGCTCCTCTAATTCGTCTCTAGTTCTTCATAACCTGGGTGTTCCGTTCTCACTTGCATTTATCATGGGAAATGAGGCTTTCTCGTCCTCGACTCCATACTTCTCACCTCGGTCCCAGCTCTCGCGATCATCCCATCACTCGTAAATTATTTGCCCAATTATTTCGATGCGAATTTTAACTATTGTATGTTTTCCTCCTTTTTCAGAATGAGACTCATATCCCGCCAAGCAGAGGTTAATATTTGATATGTTACAGCCTCCTTTTATTTCGAACTTTGTGGTTACGGTCACTCTTGTTTGATTTTGATCCTCTTTTTTTTCTTTTATGCACCGTAAAATGGAACGGTGATAAATAGAAAGTAAAAATGTAAGTTGATCAAAATGTCTTTCTTAAGTGTGTGATGTCGAAGGATCGTTGCACATTCATGAGTTAGGTCCTATCGGGCTCTCAGACTGCGTTCATACTTTGTGGCAGCGTCCACCGGCGCACGGCAGCGTTTCGAGCAAACGCGAGCACCTGCGACTAGAAAACTATAAATATCGATTTAGCGAATGCCTGCGTCCACCAGCGTCCAAGAGTGGGGAGAATGGGGAGGTAGGAGGGTGGCAGACTGCTGATAGATTATGGAGCGAACAGCTGAATTAGGTGTCGTGAAATTGTGGGGTATGCAACCGCACTGCACAACTGCTGAAGCACAGACTTGCGTAACCGAATGTACGGTGTTGTGCAGTAGTACAGTGCAGTTGCAGACGCCGCAGTTTCGCGACGCCTAATCCAACTGTCTGTCCTCTCCCACTTCCCCATACTTTGCCAGCAGTCTGCTGCCGTCCTACGTCCCCAAGCTCTGCACTTTAGACGCTGGTGGACACTGATGTTCGCTTGATCGATATCCATGGTCTGCTAGCCACTGGCAGGCGCTGGTGGACGCTGCCGCGAAGTATGAACGCGGCTCAAGCAAGAGCACACTAATATCGGTGTTCGCCCTGTGTTGAGCAGGTAACGCCTTCTAAAGACCATGGTCTGCTTAGATGTGTTTGTACGTTTCGCCAGTGAGAGAAATCGGCCCACCTTCATTGACCCTCCCGCCATCTGGCCAGCCATAATAACAGAAACGTCGGCAGGGACATGTCAATAAGGAACAGCTGGAATCAATTACGGTCCCGTAGACCACAACATCACTGTATTATGAGCGCCGACTGTCCTGCGGAATTGCACCCTTTGTTCGCCTTCTGCTTGTGGGCGAATGATGCGCTCGGTAGGCGGTTTTTGTTGATTTACGACAACGATTTTTTTGTTTTTTTTTTACCAATTGACTTTCTTCGCATCCCTAGTTGAGACCCACTATGCAGCGCATGTAATCACAGACCTAGCCTTTGACCCTTTTTCCCCGACTGTGCGGAATCGACGAAGTCGATAGGCATTCAGTGCCTTTCGCGGTTTCTGGGATTATCTTCCCGATGAGCGCATTCCCACCCTCTTATTTCTGTGCCCATATTTAGATTCATTGGAGTTTTCGGACGTGATTTGTCAACTGTAGAAAACTAACAACAAGACGAAGTTGAAGGGAAGATCAAATACTTGAAAGAAACATTGTTATGGAGAGCACCTTTCCTCGTTAGAAAGAAAAAGTATAGCACGGATAAATTCCTAAGACGTGCTAGGATTAATACGCCATAGCCAGGAACTAGCAGTATCGGTGCCCCTGCGCGCGATACTGCATGGAGGTTACGTGACAACTAAAACTTTTGGTGCGTCTTGCTGCGAAAGGCCAGAGCGCAGAGGAACAAAGAACTATGGCTGCCAGGGCATCGAGAGGTACAAGAAACATGTCGCAAACCAGGAGATGAGTTTTCCAGAGAAAGAGATGGGCACCGTGGTGGCAATGGGTGGCCTATTTATGTGCGTCAGTTTGGAAATGTAGGAAACGTCAGAAAGTGGTCACAAAAGGCCGTGCGAGAACGGGAGCACGGAGAAGACAGACAAGGAAAATTGACGCTATTAAAGAGAATTAGTTTAGCTGTCCATGGACCCTGCCCATGGATATGAGTACATTATGCCATCACATGCAGCTGTATTTTACGCGAAGCGGTTACTTTGTACGATGCAACGTGGAACTCATCTGAAATCTGTCAATCGAAGGCCTTCTTCACAAGATTTTGACCGTTTCACTTCGCTTTTCACCGTTTTTCTGCTATTTAGCATCCCTGCTACCATTTCAGACCGGGAACTAAATCATCGTGCCCTATGCTTGTAAGTTGTTTCGAGCAAGAGAAGAAGCAGGAGGAGAATGTTGCTAGCAGACTGCAATCCAGCAAAAAAGGCCGTGCTTTGGCGAAAGAAAATAAAATGTCTACAGGGTAGGGCCGTTGGAAAAGACACTTCGTCCACTAGAAGCATCCCTAAAACTTTTCCGCGCGGAATGACGGGATAAGCAGGTACTCTGAACATGTATATTAGACAGTTGTTTCAATCCATGTTTCTTCAGAATCCGTGAAAGTGACGTGCCTTGGAATTCCAGGTCGCCTGACGTCCAAATTTATTCGTAAGGTCGACCTATGGAAAATCATGGACCATGGACTATAGCAACGTTGTCTTGAAAGCTGGACGGATGCCTACCACCATTATGGCGACATCTTCAGATGGTAGGAGCAAGTGATTCAACTCGTGGAGACTGTGCGATGGCTTCGAGCACATGCGAACAGTGGAGACCATCAGAGCTCGACGGCGATGATAGAAGGCATCACATTGTCAGTACCACTGGGTCTGAGGTGGAGTGCTTGCTCTGCTTGCTGGAGAACATCTCAGAAATATTTACCCGAGTCCGGTCTAGTAGACTGACTAGACCACACTAGTACCCCTGAACTTTTGTACCCTTGTGGCTTGGGAGTTTTGATTTTTCTTCGAAATTGTCGAATTTTCAGGCAGTAAGGCTGCGTTTATACTTGCGTAGCGCTTCCAGCGTTTCACTAGCGTTTCGCTAGCGTTTGCAGCGGCGGGGCTAGAGAGTATAGAAGAGTAGGAGAGTACAGAATACTCTCCTACGCTAGAGAGTATAGAAGAGTAGGAGAGTACAAAATGCTCTCCTACGCTAGAGAGTATAGAAGAGTAGGAGAGTACAAAATGCTCTCCTACGCTAGAGAGGAGAGTATTTTGTACTCTCCTACTCTTCTACACTCTCTAGCCCTGCCGCTGCAAGCGCTAGCGAAACGGGGAGACGGTAAAGAGGATCGTAATTTGCCGCACCGCCACGCGCGGCGATGGGCGCGGTTTCATAACTCGTTTTAACCTGTCGAATGGAGCACCGGACTTCATGTAGACCCCGTCATCGTAGACAGTCATTACTGTTTTCGGTCCTTAATTGCATGTTGTCGCCATCTACTACCTGGAACCATCGTCCTTTGCGGGCGCGACGTCGCATGCGACGCCCAGCAGCGCGGCGAATTACGATCCTCTTGTCACATACCCAGCGAAACGCTAGTGAAACGCTCGTGAAACGCTGGTAGCGCTAGATCGATACCTATACATCCCGTGCCCTCGCTACGCTGGCGTACGCTAGCGTTACGCTAGCGTACGCTGGTGGCGCTGGGAACGCTAGATCGATACCTATCCTTTCCCCGGCACTGCCGCTGGCGTACGCTGGAAGCGCTACGCTACGCTGCCGCAAAGTATAAACGCAGCCTAACAGGTGGCTCCGCTCACCAGGGAAGCTCCGCCAACTTTTCAAAAACGGTCCATATCGTTAGGCGAGGGTTCGGACTGGCAGCCTATGGTCTCCTCCGTCACCCGGAACAAATTTTCACTGGTTTTTCGTTTCTGGTGACGAAGGAGATCGTAAGCTGCCAGCTTCGGACCCTAGCCTGACGATTTTACCCATTGCGGGCGGAGCTTTTAAACGCGGGCGGATATACTTGCTACTGCCTGAAAAGGCGGCGGCTTCAAAAAAAATCATCCCGCCGAAGGGCACAAAAGTGGGCCTGATCAGGAGCAGGGCTTAATGTGCCAGTGTGTAGATACATACAGGGGGGGGGGGCAAAAAAGTCACTTCGACCGAGTCACATATCAGCAAAGTTTTCGCAGCCCAGAGAGAAGACGTGGAGTACCAGGGCGGAAGATACCAAGATGTTCCTCGATAAGCAGGAGCTGGCTCTCGCCCATCACCTTCATGTACACCAAAATATGAAGTCATCTCCAGTCGCAGCCTGACTGGAGAAGACCTTTGGAATTCATGTCACCTCCAAACAGCTGCGAAACTTCTAGTATGGAGTCACCCATGGATAGCTACCTGGAGAGTACTCTCGATCTGAAAGATGTCCAACATCGAGCAGCTCCGACAACGTCGCCAC